AGCCAAGCAGCTACCAGGTTTTAAGGCCTGGCAGTGAGGGAGGTAGTGAATGTCCAGCCCCTAAGCCATAATGGACATTCCCTTGCCACTGACTTGAACCCTAACCCCCCAAGGATACAGCAAGGTTGGTGATGGTGAATGCAGGTTAGTACAACAAATAACAAAGCTGCTCACCTGGGTATCTAGGTACATAAAGAACAGGAGGCCTCTTGCTGATCATAAGGCCAGGCTAAAGAACTTCTCTTTTCAACAGAACTTACAATGTCTGACTCAGTGAAGTCCTTTGGCCTGGCACGAGCTAAAAGTTTGGTGTGCCTTTTGACTATGCAAATGTTGGAAACTAAAAATACCATGAACTACCAGATTACTTTTCTAAAAATTACCATTGATATATAAAAAGGATCTAAAAGCTCTAGTATATTTTTTTATAAAAACAAAAAAATACTTAAACTTTCAATTTAGTACTTGAAAGTTAAAGTAATTACATTTTGACAACTATGTCCCCGCTCTACTCCAGTTAACGTGACTTGTACAAGTTGTAGAAAGCCTAAAGGGGGACTCCACTTTTCCTTACGTAAAGTTGAAGTCCCGCAAACTTTATTCAGGAATTTTTCAGTATCTATTTATAATCTTTATCCAAAAACACTAATAGTGTGTATCCGCTGTGGTGCCTTCTGGTGTCGTCTTCTGGACTTTACCTAGCTACTTTAACTTTCACTTACAGACAAATAAAAACATCTCGTACGTACATTGCAAGACTGGTGCATTATATATATATATATATATATATATATATATATATATATATATATATATATATATATAGTTCCATCGTTGCATTTCCATTTTATCACTTACAAAATGGACTAGGAAAGTCGACTGCAATTTAAGTCTAATACAGCTTTTGATGCCTGACTTCCAAAACATCAATAAATATTCATCTGCAGATCTCTCTGACTGCAGCAATCTTGGATCAAGTGTGTGTGTCTTACAGATCTACATATTGCAATGCTATGCTAGAACCCCTGTACTTTTAGTCAATGTTATCAAAGATCAACACAAGGCACTTAATATGTCCAAAATGTTCCCTACGTTTAACTTAGTGACTGTAAATTCCCAATTAAAGTACACAGATTTTTAACACTCAAAAAAGTGTCTGGTAATCACTTAAGTATGAAACAATTGAACAAGTAAAAAGTTTGTATTGTTACAAAAGACTGGTTGCCAAATAGTGAAACATTCTAAGCTGCATGATTATACAGCAATGGCATCTATAGAAGTCATTGAGAAACAGCATGAATTTGAATTTATTCTGTTCATATTTTGTTCAAGATTGGAGAGGGAATAAGTTTTCTCAGCTTTAGGTCAGAATAGTCTCTCAACAGCCCAAATATGCCTGGTGCGTACTTCAAATGGGAATTTACAATATTTCAAGAAACCACACTAACCTGTTTGACAAGCTGTCTTCTTTTCTTGCGCTTGCTTGCTTCAAAGTAAACTGGAAACCGTGACATCGGCCAAAATGATGATCTGTAAAAAAAAGGAGGAAAAACATTAGTATATTTTAAATGTGAATTTAAGGCATTGCAATAAACCAAAGTATTATACTAACCTGTTTGACAAGCCTTCTTCAAGCGTAACTGGTCCCCAACCCTCGGCCCGTACCGGGTCTGGCTACACACGTACACGGGACCCCGCACCTTTTTCACCGGGCCCCACACGTGAGACCGACCGCTACTCAATATTTCAACATTTTCCCGATAAAAAATACAAAAATAAACATGAAAGTGGTACTACTAGATGTAACAACATTTTATCTCCTAATTGTGGGGTAAAATTGATGAGAACATAACAATTAAATGCAACTTCTGACACAACATGTACACAACACGTGCTGACACGAGCGATGATTGACAGCTCAGACAGACGGTCAGCCGCCGTCATTTTTCAACATTTTCTCGATAAATTCTGAGGAAAAATATCTAAAAGTACCACTATTAGATGTCACAACATTTTGTCTGGTGATTCTGAGGTAAACTTGAGGGGAGAAATTAATTTGTCTCGAAATTTTGACCAACGATATACATGTGGCTACTTCTAAGCAGGTAGTGCCAACACACGGGACACCCCGCCTGTTTCACCGGGAAACCGCACCATGCTTTGCCAACACACGGAGCAACGCGCCCGTTTCACCGGGAAACCTCCTACGTGAGACCGCTACTCAACATTTCCCAAATTTTCCCGATAAAATCTGCTAAAACTAAGCTGAAAGTGATACTACTAGATGTCACAACATTTTATCTTAAGATTCTGAGGTAAACATTCGGTGGAAAATTAATTCTTCTTCGAATTTTGACAGACAATATCTAACTCATTTTAGCGGTATGCAACTATATGCTGATGGACCCGGGCTTTCATTTCAAAGATTTCTGACAGGAAATGTGAAGGAATACAGAGAAAAGTTCCACCTTCACGATGCTTTGACCGCAATAACCAACGTCTTTGTAAAATAAGTACCAATTCATGAAAATTAAATTTCTGACAGAAAAATTTAGACATTCCTGTCACTGAGGTCAAAGTTCCTGTCAGAAATGTCTTAATAATGAGCGAAAATATGCCAGGACACACAACAGATTGCTGTATGTACTCTATACCAGGTAATACATGGGTAAACCATGAAATTCTACGGCAGAAAATTATAAATTCTTACCTCAATTCTGATGCACGGCTAGCGGCGGCTGTCACCTCCGGAATGTGAAGTTTTTCTGGCGGGAACTTTTCTGGCAATAGAACGTGGATCATGATTGGTGCCTCGGAATTTGGACTATTACATTTTGCTATTGAGGTGATATCAAATAGGCAATGTTTTCACGTTCTTATCATTTGGCGGTATTTTCAGGATATTTGACTTGAAATGCATACACAAATTATATATCATTACATACTTTGGAGATAGTCTTTTCATATCTTTGTCGGTCAATAATGGAAAAAGGAAAGGAGAAACAGTACACCCCCACCCGGCAGTCTGTTAATGTTTTAGCATTATGGCCTGTTCTATTTTTCGTTGGTGTGGGGTGAGAAGATATTTTAAAACTATTTAGAACAGAGCATTTTATAGACACTTTAAAAACAATCGTCGTCTGTTTAGGCTCATTTGTTCCCGGACCTCTGATGACCACGTTACAGTTCATTTCGTGTCGGTAGAGTGAACCCATCCATCCATCCACCCGTCCACCCCCAGTTTAGAATGGTCGGTCTCTCGCCACTCTGAGAAAGGGGGACGCTCCATTTCCATTCAACAGGGGCGCAAACCCACTGTCGGGGACGGTTCAGTAACTATCTGGGGGCTCTTTTAAAGCCGGTTTCTGCGAAATTGTCTCCTTCTACTTTTGTGGTCACAATTTCAGTAAAAAATGCAATAATTTCAATTATGATTTTAATAACATTGATGTCTACGGCCAATGATGTAAGTGAATTAAAATATATATAGTGTATCATAAATATTGGATGATAACCGTTGTGGTAACTGTATGAAATCTGAATGTAATTGTTGTTCTTTACCAGGCTTAGTGAAGGATTACGCCGATAGTGAATGTGAAGTATATGAACACTGTAAGTAAAATCATGATGACTCGGCAGCCTTCCCTGCACGTAAAGACTGTATTTATCATTGCAACATTACAGCAAGAATCTCAAATCCACCCAGAAAACTCAAGTCAAATTATTCCTATACATACAATATGAAATATCAACAAACGCTTTGATGGACAGAACAAAATCTTGGGTCTAACTTATAATGACACAAGTTTGAGCTGCAATTTCTAAGTAAAAAAATTGGACTTACCTTTATTTTTGTCTGTAACGTTTAACTCCAGTCAAGGACTGTGCAATCCCCACTTCCGTGATGTCACGTTACTAGTATGTGTGACTCGGTGAGCAGTGGATCATTGCAGGAAGTCTGTGGCGCCCTCCGTCTCTGTTGAGTGACGGTTGTAATGCCCTGATGCAGATGGCCTCTTTAACACCATGTGCAAAGATGATGGGATGCAACAGACTTTCTCCACTGCTCACGGAGTCAGGTGGATTGCTCATTCCTTGACAAAGACTGGAGTTGTACAGTCGAAAAACTCTTGGAAACTACTGTCCAAACTTGTACCAACACAGATGAACTTGGATATAACTATTGCAGACTTTATAATCTCTATAGCTCTGCATCACAGCTGCGACACATACAAGAACAAGTGTAACTGGTGTCACTATTGACTGACTAAACAAAACTCTGAACTGTTACATGTAGTTCCTTCCCTTCGTTACTACATGTATTTGGCATTGACTTTGATAAGCCACCAGCAGCTTAGGAATATCACAAAGTCTGACAAAATACTGTATTTTGTCGTTTTCCTTTTCTTTAAATTCTCTTCAAATTAGAATCACTGATTCGTTTTTGACTCATCTTATAGCACCCTGGCTTATCACATTCAATATCAAAGAAGCTTAAAACATTTTTACCCATTTTTCCTTATTCCCAGAGGAAGACGCTGTCAATTTTGAATTCTAAGTACAATCCTACATCTTTATAAAGCTGAAAGCACAATCCTACATCTTTATAAAGCTGAAAGTACAATCCTGCATCTTTATAAAGCTGAAAGCACAATCCTACATCTTTATAAAGCTGAAAGCACAATCATACATCTTTATAAAGCTGAAAGTACAATCCTACATCTTTATAAAGCTGAAAGTACAATCCTACATCTTTATAAAGCTGAAAGCACAATCCTACATCTTTATAAAGCTGAACGCACAATCCTACATCTTTATAAAGCTGAAAGTACAATCCTACATCTTTATAAAGCTGAAAGCACAATCCTACATCTTTATAAAGCTGAAAGTACAATCCTACATCTTTATAAAGCTGAAAGCACAATCCTACATCTTTATAAAGCTGAAAGCACAATCATACATCTTTATAAAGCTGAAAGCACAATCCTGCATCTTTATAAAGCTGAAAGCACAATGATTATCATACATCTTTATAATTATATAAAGCTGAATGCTTTTGAAGCAATCCAATGAAATAATCCATCAAAGATCAAGAAAGGGAACCTGAAGGCAAAATAAAATTACTAACACTTATTAATATATCAGTTATGGTGTCACATAGCCTGACTAAATCGCGCTCCTGGCGGCCGCCGCCCTAGGTTGAGCTTGTGTATACACAGGCTATGGTGTCACAGTACTTTGGCAATATGGATTCACTTCTCATCCAACACTGCCTACAAATGTTTCTGGTGGACACGACTTTTGTACAACCACAATTTCATAATTCACAAATGTACACATGTACACTCTTCCTGATATTTACTCCATACAAACTAAATCTATGAAAATAGTGATCAGTAAGATCCTTTTATGTACCTCAAAGTCTATTTTCATCTGCAGTAAGTTTTAAAGTCAATTGCACTTCAGCTTAAAGTCACCTTTCTATAAACCAGTCCATAGTTCATCAGTCATGGCTGGAAATACCGGTTACATCATTCTGCACATAGATTTTGAGCTGTGCGCCTAATGTTTGACTACGGATGCACTTAGATATTGTGTCTTGTTATGTACATTTTTTTACATAAGGTGTGAATGGTACAGTTAAGTGTGTATGCAGCATATTCTCCACATCCAAGAGTCAGCAAAAAAAGCTACCATAGAATATAGAATATCTATAGAATTTTAGATTCTAGTTGAAAAGAGCAGTGTAAGGCTTGCAGATGTTTTTTCCCATTCCACATGACTGTACTTTACCTTCTGTTGTGTACCCGAACCTTTTTCTGTGGATGCACCTAAATTCCCAGACAAAACTTTCCAGTATAATGACTGTGCAGGGTGAGTCGGTGAGGCATGTCAGGCCCAGAAATCTATGACTGTGAGGCGGTGAGGCATGTTGTCAGGCCCAGGAATCTATGACTGAGTTCGTGAGGCATGTTGTCAGGCCCAGGAATCTATGACTGAGTTGGTGAGGCATGTTGTCAGGCCCAGAAATCTATGACTGTGCAGGGTGAGGCATGTTGTCAGGCCCAGGAATCTATGACTGTGAGGCGGCGAGGCATGTTGTCAGGCCCAGAAACAGTGAGGCGGCGAGGCATGTTGTCAGGCCCAGAAATCTATGACTGTGAGGCAGTGAGGCATGTTGTCAGGCCCAGGAATCTATGACTGTGAGGCGGTGAGGCATGTTGTCAGGCCCAGAAACAGTGAGTCGGTGAGGCATGTTGTCAGGCCCAGGAATCTATAATTGTGAGTTGGTGAGGCATGTTGTCAGGCCCAGAAACAGTGAGTCGGTGAGGCATGTTGTCAGGCCCAGGAATCTATGACTGTGCAGGGTGAGGCATGTTGTCAGGCCCAGAAGGCTTGGATAGGCTGGGATAGCGGCAAAGTCAGGTTGTTCAGACTCAGCATCTGCAGAAAAACATACAGGAAAGTTTGTGATTTCTTTCTTATCATTACAACTTGACTTTAAGCAAGGAGATTTGAAAGGGACCTCATTGCTTTAAGCAACTGTGTTACTTGTATATTATTATATATAATAATTGTGAGACTTTCACAACCACGAGATGATGTTGCGTGCCATGCAGATATCTGATTCTCTGACCCTTAGCTCAACCTTTGCGGCATGTAAGTGACCTGACCCAAAACCCCAACCTGTAACCCCTAACCTGTAACCCCTAACCTGTAACCCCTAACCTGTAACCCTTAGTGACCTGACCTGTGCATCCTGTACGTAGCTGAAGTCCACAGCCTGCTTGTTAGCCACGACAGTGTGCGGCTCCTGTGACACGCCGTACCTAACCCCTAACCTGTAAACCCTAACCTGTAAACCCTAACCTATGACTCTTAGTGACCTGACCTGTGCATCCTGTACGTAGCTGAAGTCCACAGCCTGCTTGTTAGCCACGACAGTGTGCGGCTCCTGTGACACGCCGTACCTAACCCCTAACCTGTAACCCCTAACCTGTAACCCCTAACCTGTAACCCCTAACCTGTATACCCTTAGTGACCTGACCTGTGCATCCTGTACGTAGCTGAAGTCCACGGCCTGCTTGTTAGCCATGACAGTGTGCGGCTCCTGTGACACGCCGTTCCTAACCCCTAACCTGTAACCCCTAACCTGTAACCCCTAACCTGTAACCCTTAGTGACCTGACCTGTGCATCCTGTACGTAGCTGAAGTCCACAGCCTGCTTGTTAGCCATAACAGTGTGCGGCTCCTGTGACACGCCGTACCTAACCCCTAACCTGTAACCCCTAACCTGTAACCCCTAACCTGTAACCCCTAACCTGTGACCCTTAGTGACCTGACCTGTGCATCCTGTACATAGCTGAAGTCCACGGCCTGCTTGTTAGCCATGACAGTGTGCGGCTCCTGTGACACGCCGTACACCCGGATGGACCCCAAGGTCATGTCCTTGGTTCCGGGGAACCCTGACATCATCACCTGCGACGAAATGGTGTTCTGTTGGGGAGAAAACAGCAAACTCCACTTTAACCTCAGAATTACGTTTAAAATGTGTTACATACTGGTGTTCTGTTGGGAAGACAACGAGACAGAAAAAGTCCATTTTTAACTCGGAATTATGTTAGAAAAATCAAGAATTACAGTCTATTGTGCAGCTTAAACCACTCACCCTGGATGAGAAGAACTTGATCATGGTGAACTCTTTCTTCCCTTCCGTGTCTGCAAACACAAATGAAAAGGCTAATCAGTTTATAACAATCTCGGTTCAATCACCAGACTATGAACTCAGAGCTCACGCCTGTACTGCGCCTGTACGAAAGCATCACTGTTGGATGTTTGGTCAACGGTCAGACAGACACAGACACAGATACTGACCCAGAGTGTTGCCATCGTCCCAGAACACAGTAACAAACATAACAGACGTGTGGGACTGACCCAGACAGACACAGATACTGACCCAGCGTATCCCCATCATCCCAGAACACAGTAACAAACATAACAGACGTGTGGGACTGACCCAGACAGACACAGATACTGACCCAGCGTGTCCTTCATTCTTTTCCATCGCCCGGCTGCCTGTTCGTAGCGGCTCAGTAAAGATGGCGGGCCACTAGGCGTAAACATCTGCCCGTTATTTTAGCTTCGATTCTTTAAGGATAAGGACAATGTGAAGCCATGATGCGTTTTCTATGGAAAGTATTATAATAATTACCTGTCATGTGTGTGGTAAAATCTTCCCTTGGCAAACCATCAGTACTGGAAATTTACTGTTACGTACTGATCTACTACTAACAGTACAATTTCAGTAAATCTCCAGTAAATCGTCTTTTACTGTTTTACTGAAGCATTACTGGTAAGTACTGATGCCTCTATTTACTGTTGGTGTTTAAACCAATGTCTTGTTTGACCAATCAGACCATAAATGTCCATTTACTGTCTATTACTGGACATTTACTGGGATATTTAACCAATCACAGTCTTGCAATTTGCAATTCTGATTATATTTGGGGCAGCCCCACAATTCTTAGCTCACAGTGTCTCAGTGGCCTGGCATGGACAGGAGGTGAGGTGGGGAGGTGTGCATAAGGTCTTTCAGCCCATACTCAGGTATGTACTAGTAAGGAAGGGGGCAAGGTCAGAAATACTGGAGGTAGGTGTAGAGGGGGACAAGGACAGGAAGAATACTGAAGGTAGGTGGGGAAGTGGCAAGGTCAGAGAGAACTGGGGTAGGTAGGGAGGTAGGTGGGGAGGGGGGCTAGGGGGGCTAAGGTCAGAAAGAATTTACTGAAGGTAAGAAGGAGGGCAACTATAGGTCATTATCAGACTATAGGACTCTTGCTTGGGGACCAAAGGCAACTAAGATCATATAGAATTCACCCACAACACTGAACATTTCTATCCATGAGAGTAAGGTTGGATACTAGGGGAAGTTACCACATATTCCCAGTTTATGCCAAACAAGACATTCCCAGGTTAGTATCTTGAAACTATGGTGTTTCTACTTTCAATACTATTCCATGACACCGTGCAGCAAGAATTGATAACTTAATAAAGTCTTACTTGGTTGGTATGGCAATGAAAAGATGAGTCAGAGATATTCCTGGAGTGCTGTGTTCTAAAAACAACCATGTGCAAATGACTCAGAACCAGTTCTAACCAGTTCTAACAGACATCTTTGACAGTAGTTAGTTACTGTAGGATCTACTGTCAAGACCATCATTTACTGTTTTGTCAACTCACTCATTTACTGTTCAGCCAGTAAATATTTACTGTATGGTGTCACTGCATTTACTGTTTCACCAGTAAATGTTAACTGGGCATTTACTGTTTCTTCATGACTCAATTACTGATTATTTACTTGGAATTTGCATAAAGTGTGAATATTTGGTAAATGTTTTCAGTAAATCTTTTACTGTTCAGTAGATGACACCAGTACTTAACAGTAGATTGTCAGTACTGTTGGTTTGCCAAGGGTTTGCACATGTTGCACTTTAGGATGAATGACTTGACAGTTCTGAAGGCTATGTGCTGGACACGTTCCCTCGTCAAACTCCGCGAAAAGCGTTGAATTCAAACTAATATTTCAATCGCTAGCAGTCTGAGCAATAAACTTCGACAAAATTCCTGACTTTGTTATTTTTTACATAACGTCTTGCTCCATAACTAGTTGTTTTTATTATGTGGATTTACCCATGCATAACATAATAATAATGATCTTTAAAACTATGCCGGACTTTGGACCCCTGCCGGACTTTGGACCCCTCCCGTTAACAAACATAACAGACGTGTGGGACTGACCCTGCGTGTTGCCATCGTCCCAGAACAGCCCTCCCCAGGCCTCCAGTAACACAGTAACACAGTAACAGGTACTCAGACCCAGACAGACACAGGTACAGTAACACAGTTACACAGGTACAGATACTGACCCAGCGTGTCGCCATCGTCCCAGAACAGCCCTCCCCAGGCCTCCAGCGTCCGGTTCAGCGCCACAACCAGCCCAAACTGGTTCTGTCTGCTGGCCGTGGTCGTCATGGCGGGTTGCTGGGTAACCAGGATGGCCCCGCCCCGCAGGTGCAGGTTGATGGTGTCCCGGGGAGCGTCCAAGGTCACGTTCTGTCCTACAGGAACCACTGGCCGGCCCTGTGGGGAGGGGGGCACAGCAAATAAAGGTCAAACAGGTCATGTTCTATACTTCAGAAACTATGTGGGGAGGGGGGCACGGCAAAGGTCAAGGTCAAACAGGTCATGTTCTGTACTTCAGAAACTATGTGGGGAGGGGGGCATGGCAAAGGTCAAGGTCAAACAGGTCATGTTCTGTACTTCAGAAACTATGTGGGGAGGGGGGCACAGCAAAGGTCAAGGTCAAACAGGTCATGTTCTGTACTTCAGAAACTATGTGGGGAGGAGGTACAGCAAAGACACAGATAAAACAACGACAACTTCTGGAAGACTTACCGAGTAGAAGTCGTACCAGGTGTCATTAGGGAAGTAAGCCGTCACTTTGGTCGCTCCCTGCATGGGGGGGGGGTAATAACATCTCTGTTAACACATCCAGGCAACCAGTCTGAGGGATTTGGGAAGGCTCCTGAACTAAGCCAAGCTGCTAGGCTTTAGGCTTAACATCTTTGAAACATGATCACTATGCAGAGAGGGTTTACTGGGAAATGACATGAATGTCTTACCTGTTCCAGCACAGGCGTCACCATGAGACTGTCTCCCCACAAAAACTGGGTATCCACACCCCAGGTGTGACTGTCTGTGGGGTACCTGGGTGTAATAAACAGCCATACATTAATATATGGTAAAAAACTGGGTGTGCAGAACAGCCAGACATTAACGTATGGTAGAAACCTGGGTGTGCAGAACAGCCATACATTAACATATGGTAGAAAACTGGGGTGTAAGAGCAGCCAGACATTAACATGGTAGAAAACTGGGTGTAAGAGCAGCCATACATTAACATATGGTAGAAAACTGGGTGTACAGAGCAGCCATACATTAACATATGGTAGAAAACTAGGTGTACAGAACAGCCATACAAAAACATAAATTGGGAACTAGAGAAGTAACATTTGCAAAGCAAATGCATAATGTTTACCTTCGGACATGGTCTTCTCTGTTAATTTTTACTTTAACACATTCACATACATGTACTACTAGTATGTGGTGACAGGAGTAGAACAGACCATGAAATTGCAACATTATGTAACCATTATAGTAACAGATGTCAACAAATCATGTCATTGGTCAGGTCATAACACTGTTTGGAGAAGAAGAAGAGGAAGAAACTGAGCAAAAACTAGAAAGGCCGACATTTGCGTGGGAGGGAATACAGCATATTTCAGTCCATCTCCCTCCCACGCAAAAGTGGACTATTCCAAACTTACCCCAGTGCAAAACTGGCAAAGGTTCTCAAATAAATGAATTAAGTAGTAGCTATATGAGAACAAAGATGCAACAACAAGTACTTTGAATCTCGAAAGCTTTACTAATCTTATTACAGGTATGCAAAAACTACAATGATGAGATTTGATACATTCTGAAGGTCTTAGGCACATAAAATTGGAATGTGTGGGTCATTTACCCACCACTTTAGGGTGCAATGTGACCTCAGGTAACCCGCAATGGAACACGTGTTCCATGGATGGAACTGGCCATTTTTTAGATAGAACATGGAACGGGTACAGCACTTTTGGCCCTTTTTTGCTGAAAATA